CAGTAGATATTGTTTATTAATTAAATTCATGTTTATTAATTAAACACTGACTCTTAATTCATTAAGAACTTTGCAAAGAAGATTCAGAAGCTCTGAAAAAACATTTTGACTCCCCATAGAAACATGGGGGTTCGATCCCTGGGTGGGGAAGATCCTCTGGAGAAGGAAATGGCAAGCCACTCCAGTATTCTTGCCTGGGAAATTTCATGGACAGAGGAGCCTGGCCGGTTATAGTCCATGGGGTCACAAAGAGTCGGACACGATTTAGTGAGTGAACAACAACAAAAGCACTGGATAGATCTTATTTAAACACGTTGCCTGGAAGAGTGGAATTCTGTGGTCCTTGAGTGACCCGCATTCTTTGAGCACTATTTCATCAAGGGGAATGAAACAGCTTCCATTGGTGCCAAAAGGAAAGCCCCAGGATCTAAAAAAAGGGTGGATATATGGGTATGTATAACCGATTACCTTTGCTGCCCACCCAGAACTGATACAACATTGTAAATCAACTCTACTCCATGAAAACCATTTTTAATTAAAAAAATTAAGTTAAAAAAAGAATCAATAGATGTGGAAACAAGTTTAGCAACGGTTTGTCATTACTGGCCCCCAGATTGAGAACTTTCGTGATTATCTCATTCATAGTCATCTCAGCATTGTGATGCAGTTGACATCGTCTTTTGTCAGGGCTTTGAAGAACTCTTTATAAGAGGTGCGTTTCTCTTTGGTGAATAAGGAAGGAGCGGTGTTTTGGTCAACTGTCAGTTGTACTTGTAGTTTGTCAGGAGTGTTAGGAGACGGATTATCATCCTGTTGTTCCTTCCTGTGTACTTTTTCAGGCAGTCTTTGTGGAAGCATGTGAAGGGACAGCGCCCCGCTGTGACTCTTACAAACAGGACGAGATGAACCTTAAGGATGTTTATTAAACTGTTGGTGCATTTCACTAAACTCAAGATTTTCTCCCTATCCCTTTGTTTATTTAGTCTAGTGACTAATATTTTCCTTTCCATATGAGAGGGAAAAAAATCATTTTACAATCCCAATTATAAGAATATAGTCTTCCTATTTGGCCAACCCAAAAAATATGGTACCAAGAATAAATGAATGTTAGTTAATGAGTATTCATTAATAACCAGCACGATCACTCTGTGTATCATTTCAGCACTGTTTTTGTTGTCCTTAGTTCTCCCTTTGATTTTTTTTTTAATTTCCAGTTACTTGCTTTTAGCATTAGAAAGTTTAAAGTGGAAATCAGAGTGATAACATAATATCTAAAAACAAGATGTAATAGTGGTATTAATAGGATAAATGGTAGCTTACAATTAAGGAGGGCCAGGACTTAATGGTTTAAGCTTCATGGGTGTTATTTATTTCCTCTCTCTCTCTCATACACACACACACAGACTCGATCACTCACGAACTCCATACCTATAAAATATAAAATTTGATTGGGAAAAGGATTAAAGTCTTGGAGAGCTAAGGCTTGCCTAAGATCAAACAGCCAGAAAACAGTGGATCCCAGATAGTGGCCTTTCAATGACCTTTTCTGTTGCAACTCCCAGGGAACCTACCGCCTTGAAGGAAGAGACCTTATCTTATTCATCTCGGTACCCAGCTCCTAGCTCAGAACTGAACGAACAAGAGGGTGACGTCGCTAACACTTTATTTTAGGAAGATAAATCTGGCAAGGATGAGTGGGATGAAAAGAACAGGGAAAGACTGGTGGCATGACGAGCAGTTCTGATGTTATTACTACCATCCAGAAAGAGAGTTAATGAGGTCAGGAATGAGGGGCAGCACGGGGAGAAGAAAAGAGGCGATGAAGGTGGGAAGGTTTAGAAAGAAGGCATTCATGGACTTGACGGCCGTGAGCAGGCAGTGAGCAGTGCCAGCCTTTTGATAAGTATCCATTCACGTAGGAAATATTTCTGGAGCATCACCTGTGTGCCAAAATCTAGTTGCTGGGGATCCGACAGTGAATTAGGCAAATGAAAGTGTTTGCTCTCAGAGAGCTTATAGTCTCATTTTAGGATGTACCAGTCAGAGTTCTCCAGATGGCCACTGTACCCCACTATATATTCTCAAGGAATTGGCTTTTCTGATTATAGGGCTGGTAAGCCTGAAATCTGAAGGCCAGGTCTACTGGCTGGAAATGCTGAGCAGGGGCTGATGCTGCCATCTTGAGGCGGTTTTTTCCTCCTCGGGGAAACCAGTTTTGTTTGGTCTTAAGGGGCTTCCCTGGTGGCTCAGAGGGTAAAGTGCCTGTCTGCAATGCGGGAGACCTGGGTTCAATCCCTGGGTTGGGAAGATCCCCAGGAGAAGGAAATGGCAGCTCATTCCAGTACTCTTGCCTGGAAATCCCATGGACAGAGGAGCCTGGTAGGCTACAGTCCATGGGGTTGCAAAGAGTCAGACATGACTGAGAGACTTCACTTTAACTTTTCACTTAAGGCTCTTCAACTGATTGCTCAGGCCCAGCTGGATTATTTAGAATAATCTCCTTTACAGTAAATCAACCCTCTACATACAAACGAGTTCTGTTCCAAGAGTCATTTGTTAAGTCCAATTTGTTCTAAGTCCGACAAATTTAGCCTCGATACTCAGCTAACACAGAGGACAGTCTGCAATTTCACTCACCCCTGGTGGTGATGGAATGCACTTCCTCATCTTTGAAAGTTCACAACTGGAAGGCTCGTATGTAGGGGACTTACTGATATAAAGTCAGATTGTAGGTATGAATCCCGTCTGCAGAATACCCTCAGTTAGTGTTTGACTGAATAACTGATGGTATAGCTGACCCAAGCTGACCCATAAAACTGACCCTCCCAGAGGAGATGGAAGAATGAGCAGTGCAGAGCGGGAGGTCACCTAGGGTGGTAAGGACTGGCTCTTGTGCCTGGCAGACTCAGGGAGGGATAGGGGTATCTTCACCATACAGACGAGGCAGATGAGACTTGGGGACTTACTTAGACTAAAACAGCTGATTGGCCCTGCTGTCTTTCTGTCTCCAGCATATGTGCAGGAAATACCACGGAGCCTGCCCTCCCAGGGACAGTCAAATAGACCAGAATATTTGACATTTTACCAGGAGCAACACCAGTGAGTGAGCACATTTAGATTAGGAACTTGTTTTCTGAATGTAGAGCCTGCACGTAGAGAGGTTGATCGGTGCTTTGGGGTGAGGGGGTACAGAAAGTGTAAGTGTGTTAGTCACTCAGTCGCATCCAACTCTTTGCAACCCCATGGACTGTGTAGCCCACCAGGCTCCTCTGTCCATGGAATTCTCCAGGCCAGAATACTGGAGTGGGTAGCCATGCCCTTCTCCAGGGGATCTTCCCCACCCAGGGATCAAACCCAGGGGTGGGGGGTACAGGATGCTTTGTCCAGCATCAGCCCCTTCGTCCCACTGCTGCACTGGGACAGGCAGTCTTTATGTGCCCAGGTCGGGGCTTTTGTACAAGCCATTCATTTTGCCTAGAAGACCCTTCTTCCTCCCCCCTCCCCTTCACGTGGACCATGTCTGTGTAAACCTTCAGGTCTGAGCTTCAGCACGTCATCAGGGAAACTTTCTCTGTGCATCCAAACTAGGACCCATCTCTGGTTACAAGCTCCCCCCACCCCCTGCTAACACCATGTTCTTCTAATGAGGTATATAGCACTGTCATCATGAAGTAGCTTATTTCTATCTTACTAGTGTCTGCCTCTCCCATTACACTCCCAAAGAAAAGGAACTAAATCACTATCGTGCAGATTTCCCAGCAAGGACACAGTTCTTAGCAGATATTACTTATCTGATGGATGCATGGATAAAGGAATGAATGAATGTGATGTGTTTTCTTCTACTCAGGGCATCCGGAGGGCATCTAAACAATCACCTGGAAACACAGGGCACATCAGGAGGCTCCTCTCTGTTTCCCAGTCCCCAATTTCATCATTTCCTGTCCACTTCCAGTCCCAGCCTTGGCATATGGGTTCTTCCCCATGTCACTTTCAGAAGTGGTGCTTCTTGAAGTCTTCTCTGATTTAAGAGGTCCTTTGTAAGCATTTGAGCCTAAAGCCTTCCAACACAAAACTCTTAGAATCATTAGATCAACAGAACACAAGAGTGAGGGAAGTGTGTGGAAGAATTCCAGGAATGGTGCAAGGTTGAGGAGTCAGGCATGGGTGACGTGTCCGAAGGATGCCCGCATACTTAACACGGATGGTTCTCTCTCTTCTTGCCCCAGGCAGGAAGTTCTGACTACTTCTGCCTGTGGTCTGGAGTCTCATGAGACTTCCATGAGAAGACAAGCTTCTGACTCAAGCAGCCCCTGATATGTCTGAGTGGGCTCCTGTGAGCCAAGTTGAGAGGAAGTTAGGAGCCTCTACCCCCGTACCTACTAAATGCCTCCCCCTTATCCTGCCACACAGAAGAAGGCTGAGGGTGGGCATGTGAGGCCGAACAGTAAAGCTTACAGTACCGCTCACCTGGTTTCTGACCTGACAGCCACCAGTCATGACAGCTTAAAATCTCACCTGTGCTGTGAATTGCTTCCAAGAGCTCTTCTGCCCTTTGTGAGTCGCCAGAATATCAATGGAAATGAGGCTTATTTTGTGGTTTTTTCTGACGGTGGGACAAGACATTTGGGATTGATTTAAAAGTGGCCACTGTCAAGTTATCCCAGAAGGATCTGTGCAAGTTTCTCCCACTTGCCTTCTTTCCGTTAAAAGGTCTTTCTCTCCGGAAACATCTCTCTGTTTCTACGTTCTCTGTTTTTTCTGAAACTTGGAAGTCTTGGCTGCAATTCATAGATGACCCTCCTGGGAGCCAGACAGATGCTGACTGTATGACCACAGGATGTAACAGAAAGCATTATCGGCCCGGGTGTTTGGAGGCGGAGGTCCCGGAGTCTTGGCTCTGCCGCTGAGCGGTGCAAGACTTTGGACAAGTCTCTGGGCTGGAGTGGATGCGGTGCACTCCGCAGTTACCGCCACGCTAAGATGTACGGTTCTCATTGCAGGCATCTTTTCCACAAGTGCTGTGTTGACCCCTGGCTCCTAGACCATCGCACCTGTCCCATGTGCAAGATGAACATTCTTAAAGCCCTAGGGATCCCGGTAAGCACAGTACAGCCTACAGCCTCATCGTGTCTGTCTCTCCACATTTCCCACTCAGCAGGGAGAAAACAGCACCCCGGGTTTCTGTGTCCCCTCGACCCCCGGCAGTGGCGTCGCGTGATGAGGGCCTGGGAGCGCTTTCCCACATCTGGACACATTCCTACTCTCCCTTCGTCTCCATCTGAGAACACTGTGACCCTCCCACCGTGTTTGTTGTTTTTGTCTGTGGGTCGAGATGCTGCCTGAGCAGCTCACGGGCTCCTCTTCTGGGCTGCAGTGGGTGACAGCAGCTGGGACACTAGCAGAGCCAGGGGTGCCCTGATGACCCTCTTGTCATTTACCTGCACCGTCATCAGGCAGACCCAGCTGCCACGGTCTCCCCACCATCGCCCAGCTACCAGAGGAGACAAACTCTTCCGGACAAGGGGCGAAGAGGTCAGCCTCTGGGCATCTGGCTCGGTGGCCTCTGCTAAACTCAGATCTCCACGAGAGCTTGAGAGACCAGGAAACCAGAGCCAGAAGCCCTAAATTCCCATGCTCCCATCAAACTGGAGCCCTCAGTTACATGTTTTAGCAAACGTAGTCTCACCAAGTGCACACCACATCCCCCAGCAGGCTGGCTTGATGCTCCAGGGAAGGACTTTCCCAGGATCATATGGAGTGAAGGCCATGGGCTGGTGGTTGGTGAGACACCAGCTGCTGTCACGAGGGCGGGAAGCAAGCCAGGCCACCAGACCCAAGGGCTGCGAAGAGATGTGAGAACAGCATCGGTGCCGTCTAAGAGAAGCTAGACCAGCAGGATAGAGACCCTCTTCCCCCTCGCCCCCTCCGCTTTGCTGCAGCCTCCCTCTTGTCACTCCTCACTACTCATGGCAGAGAATAAATAGAGTTTTTAAAGTCCCAAGATGTCACTGATTAAGAAAGGATCAGCTCAGATATCAAAGGCTTTATTTAATGCCAAAAGGCTAATTACCCCGGGAAGATGGGAGAGACTGTTGCATAGGACACACCTGAGGATCGTGAGGTCACGGGTAGGCTGAATTTCCTGCCCTGTACCAGCTGCCTCTGCCAGCTGTATGCTGATTTTTTTTTTTTTACAGTCCGTACACAAAACACAAATCCACTTGTGTGGCTGTAGCTTTGAGCTAGATTTTGAAAGGCAATGCATTAAATTTTCAGACCAGTGTTGTCAACGAATAATAAATTCAAGGTGAAAATCAATGACAGTGAACATGAACTATGAGCAGAAAACCCAGCATCTCTATCAGATACTAAGGACTTAGAAAATTTAACTCGCTGTTTGCATGTGTCACATATCTGGCTCTAACTGGTTCTTACCAGGGAGGAGGGAAATGTGTGTATGTGTGTATTTACATGTGTGTATGTGTGTCTTTGGGTTCTAAAATCTTTAACATGTTCACAGGTAAAGGTAGGCAGTCACATCGTTTAGCCTAGTTCTTGTTGCTTAAGGTTATCTTCCAAGCTCCCAGTTTTCAACCCCAGTGCTCCTTGGTCAGAACAATGAAACCGAACCACCCCCAGTGGTTACGGTTTATACTAAATAACAGTCCACTCCAGATTTTTTCTGGGCAAGTATAACTTCTCCAGACCTTGTAAATATCTGAGAATTGTAAATGCCTCAAGAATACAACTAATAATTGTTTTTAAAAGGGAATTTTTGGGTGGCCTTTGGGCTTCTTTCCAGAAACAAATAACCTTTTAACTTTTAGCAGTCGGGCATCCTGGCCATGGTTTGTTTCCTGTCCAGTCTGGATAGGATTTTACTCAGCACACTTGCGAAAAAGTAAAAGTCAGTAGCATCTTTGGATTTTGCCAAGGATTCTTAAAGGCCAGTCAAACAGGAACATGACACCACCCAAGCTGGCCCCAGAGAACAGAACGTCCTCTGTGAAGAAGAAGGCAGGCATGCAGGCTGCCTCTCATGCAGCACTGAGGCATATGGCTGCCCCCCAGGCCTCCCTGGTGCTTTGCCCTAGAGGATGGTACTGAAGTCTGGATCAGGGACCAATCTGGGATGCTGTTCTCCATACCTTTAAGCATAGTAGCATCATGCTTAAGTTATACCAAAGAGGGGATGTTTTCACTCCACTCTTAGAACTTACCGTGTAAATGGACAGGCTCACAGCCTTCTCAATTAGGAAAAACTTCCTGTAGCTAACTGAAACCCTTTCATGCAGCTCAAAGAAGTTGTTTTATAATTTTTTTTTAAAACTCCTTTTGCTCCATTTCTTCCTCATCAAAGAAAATTGAAAAGAGCCCGTCTGCCTCTCTGATAATTGGTGCCTGTGGGTCCTTCATCTCTGGATCCCTTACACGTGCGTAGAGCTCAGTAAATGTTTGTGGCTTTGTAGCCCTTCAGAGTGGGAAGGCTGCCAGTCACAGAGGGGTGTTTATGAAATTCACCCTGGTTCTCCTTTGAGGAATGTCCATTCACCAAAGACTTGGCTATAATCCTGATCCACTAGATCGTCCAAATATAGGGTTTTGTGTTTGATTTTGGTCTTTCTTCTGTTGTTTTTAACTAAGTAGTCTTGTGCCTGCTTGTGCTCTAAGGCAAATAAATATAAGTGGAAAGCTTCGGGCTGGAGACATTTTCATTTTGTGAGAGGTTTCTCTAAAATGAGCTAAAGAATGAGAGTGAGGCTCATGGATTGTGAATTCCCATCACAATGGTATCTTTTCCCATTATATTTTGCCAAGAGAAATAGAAGACTGAGCTGAAAGGGGTGGGTCGGAGAGTCCTTTATTGTCAGAGCATTTTCATCCCTTTATCTACATCCAAGTGCTTCATCCTCCTTTCTCTCCAGTCAGGTTTAGGGGTGTCTTTGCAGAATGACAGAACACATCACTAAGCACTCTTGTAGGGTACTGTATAACACAGGCCTTTTTTATCCCAGCAAGCACTGTCTCCTGTCACCATTATCCTGGTATGAACAGGATGATTGTTAATGAATAGAAAATCCCGTGGAGTCGGTGTATTCACTAGTCCCTAACTATTTAGCAGTTGGTTTATTTGAGGAGTTTCCCTGCTAACCTGACTTTGAATACCTCTACGCTGTTCACTTACAGATGGCTTTTGACATCTCTTACTAAACATTATGACTGTAATTTCTCTTAGTGGTGTTTAAAGTGGTTTTCTTTTCAAAATATTACTCTATTTTGATGAACCATTTTGAGTGGATATAAACCTTGAGGTTCCGTAAGGTTGGTCTGTTAAGTATTAATACTATAGCTAAAACAAATTATTCATTCCTGCTCTCGCTAACAGTCTCCCTCAGCTCATCCACTATTTCTCTTTTCCTCTGCTCCCTTCTCTTGAAAACATAACACTGTTCCTCCTAGCCCACAAAGTAAAAGCGAACACGCTGCATCAAAATTAATAAAAATAATTTCATAAAAAGAAAAAAGAAAGAAAGCAGGAACATGATCAAGAAACAAAGTCAACGTTTTGAAAAATATGTCAGTTGTTATTGCATCTATGGTCACATTCAGACGTTTATGGCTGGAAGACCAACCGGCACAGTATCCGTGCTGGGAACTCCTCCCTGCTACCCCCACACAATCAGACATGCTCACGAGCATCTTTACATAGAATAGGGGAGGGAAAAAAGTCATTTTTTTCTTCTAGGTTCGCCAGCTGGTCCCTATAAATGAGACTTATAAATGACAGATTAGCAAGAGAAAATCAAACAGTTTATGAATATATGTGCCATGAGTAGCCGCAGGAGCACTTGGTGATGAGTGACTCACAGGGCAGGTTAGAACTTCATCTTATATAGCATTTTCAAAAAGCAGCAGTGCAGTGATTAAGACTCCACCCTTCCCATGCACGGGGCATGGATTCCATCCCTGGTCAGGGAACTAAGATCCCACATTCCATGCCACACAGCCAAAAAAAAAAAGAGCAAGAAATTTTTAGAGAAGTGCTGAGACAAAAGGAAAGGACTTGGAGTTTCTAGGACAGCAAATTGTGGAAAGGTAGGTAAATGGGGGAACCAGAGGCAGATAAGGGCATGTCAGTCAGGTTTGTTGTTTGTCCCATTTTGGTCTCAAAGTCACCTAGCAGCTGATGATGAGAATGTCCTCTTCCTAGCAGAAGAGAGAGAGACACCCTTACAAACGTATGTCCTGCTTTTAAGCAAGGGTTGGTGGCAGGGAGAGCCTTTCTTTACCTACTTCCCAAGAGAAACAATCCTTTTGCCAAAGTAACATATTTCAGGATTGCACATTCTGCTACCCTTCAAAGGCATGCTTTAGCTTTGCACAAAAATTGAATTTTTCCCACTACAATATTGTAAAGTAATTAGCCTCCAACTAATAAAAATAAATGAAAAAAAAATTGAATTTTTAAAGTATTTTCTCAAATCTTCCCTTCATGGATCTAAGATCTGGGCAGACACTAATATTCCCAAGTTTTCAGAGCAATAAACTGAGATTTACATAAAATTTCCCAACTGACATTTATCAAGTACTTAATAATTGCCAGGCACTACGTGAGGGCTTAGAATTCAAGATCAGTGTAGTTGATTCACTTTAAGAAGCTTATGTCTCACTTGTATGTGGAATCCGCATGGAATAGAAACAGAAAACAGATTGGCGATTGCCAGAGGTGGGGGTTGGGGTGAAATTGGGTGAGGCGGTCAGGAGGTACAAACTTCCAGTTATAAAATAATTCCTGGGGATATAATGTTCAGCTTGGTGACCATAGTTCACAACACTGCGTTGTATTTTTTAAAGTTGCTGAGAGAGTAGATCCTAAAAGTTCTCATCACAAGAATAAAAAATTGTAACCATGTGAGGTAGTGGATATTAACTAAACTTATTGTGGTGATCATTTTGTAATATGTACGTGTATCAAATCGTTGTACAACTTTAATGCAATATTGCATGCCAATTATATCTCCATAAAATTGGAATTAAAAAAAAAAAGAAGAAGCCTGTATACTAGTAGAGTGAGACAAACATAGTAACAAATGAGTTCAACAGAGTTGGAGAAGTGTGAAAAGTTACAATAGCGAAGGTGACTACTTGGGAGGGAGCACCACTCAGCAAAGAGGCATTTTGGCCTGGGGTTTGAGGGGTGCTTAGAAGTTCACCAGGGTAAGCTTGAGACCTTGGCATGGGGAAGGGGATGGTTGGGGCAGACGTCATCCTGAGTAGAGGAACAGCGCGTGCTAAGTCACTGAAATAGGCGATATATTCCAAAGGCTGAAGGTAAGGCCAGAAAAGTAGGCTGGGACCAGACTGTACACTACCTGTTTGCTGTAGTAAGGAGCTTATCATTCATTCTTTAGGGGATTAAAAAAAAATCATATCTATGTTTTTTTTTAAGTACTCTGGTGAGAAAGTGGAGAATGGAGCATACTGGGGAAGAAACTGCAGGGAGATGGGGAGACTGGGAATGGGGCGGAAAGCATGCAGAACATACCTGCTCGTGTCCAGTCATCTCAGGAGGTCAATTCTGTGAGTTGACTTTTGACCACTCAAATTTCAATGAATTGACTCACTGCCAGTGGAAATGGAGAAAGCAGAAAGAAAAGAGGACACAGGGGAGAGGGAATGAGCTGAATTTGAGGGTTTTGTGGGATGATGGGGATTTCCAACTGACTGCTGGAAACACAGGTATGGAGCTCGGGAGGCGTGGTTTGGAAATGGAAATCCAGCGCAGGCGTCAGCAGGTTGAATTCCTTTCTTTGTGCTCTGGGTGAGTCCATGAGTTGTAGATTTTCTCTTTGAACTTTGCACCCAATCTGGTCATTGTGATGTTAATTAAATCAATGCCCAGCCAGGGTTCTCCTTACCTAAGCCTTTAGGGATAGAAAGCCATGCCATTGTCATCACTCAAGGCAATGTTGCTGTTTAGACTGATGCAAAAAAAAATGATAAGTAGTTATTCCTACTACTTCTCAAGATCAGATCTCTCCACCCCCAGCTTTTAAAAGTAATTTTATGAGTTTGGGCAGGGGCAGAACAACTGAAAATCATTTTTCAAAAGCTACTCATGGAGGAGATATTCATATATTCAACACCACTTCAACCAGCAGAATTAAAACCAGAGTAAGACTGTAGGATAGCCCAATAAAAAAATAATTTACAAAGCTAGTGACACAGGCTGCCTTACCAAATAGGGAGCCTCCCATTTCTATGTGTTTCAAGTGGAGCTCTGAAGGATTAGGAGGGGCAAGAGTCCAGTAGTAAGTAGGTAATTACACTGGATGGCCTCACCCTTGTTTTAGATTTTAAGATTTTAATTGAGAGAATTTGATAAATATGTGATCAATTGTATGTTCTACAAATAGGACTCTTTTCTCCAGCTGGATTTTTGGCTTATGTCAACAACAAATGCTTGTGCTTTTGTGTATGTGTGTGTGTTTGTGTATATGTGTGTATCTCTGATGAACAATTCACAATGCGTCTTATTCTGTCTCCCCTCTCATGCCAGTAGTTCATTTGCAAACAACATATGGGTCTTTGGGGCGAATTATCAGGCTGTCATCTACTTCCTATTATGAGAACTAAACACTATATATAAGAAGGAGCCATTATTATAGATAAATGTCATATTATTCCCCTTAACTAATTTTATTAATGTATGGATATTACTACTTCTGGAATTAAAACCTTGTCTCTAGATCTAAACAGAGACTTCGGAAAGAAAATTTTGGAAGATGTGTTCATGTTAATTACAGGAGCTATATTGTGGAATGTCTAAATAAAGTGATTCAGGAAGACAGTAAAAAACTTAGTTTCGGGCAGGACAAAATATTGAGGCTGTAGACATCTCATCCCTAACTTGATGACGTACACTAAGAACGTCCTTTTCTGCTCCTGTCAGCCCAACGCCGACTGCCTGGACGACGTGCCCATCGACTACGAGGGATCTCTGGGAGGTCCGCCCACCAACCAGATCACAGGCGCGAGTGACACGACTGTAAACGAAAGCTCGGTCACTTTGGACCCTGCTGTCCGGACTGTGGGAGCCTTGCAGATCGTCCAGGACCCAGACCCCACCCCTCAGGAGGGAGAAATCATCTTCACCACCAACAGTAAGTTCTGCCGTGCACACACCAAGCGCCCTTATTCCCAAAGGCTGTTGCCTCGTGAGAATTGGAAGGAGGCACTTGTCCTCAAGAAGGAAAAAAAAACGAAATTAAATGACCAGAATGTTGCCCGGCTGACCCTTCACACCCGACAGTCCTCGCGAGGCCCAGCTCACTCCCGAGGCAGCGGGGCAGACAGTAGCGCTGGCATGGGTCTCGCTCACCCACACCCGATGCCACCGCGTTGCACACACCCCGTGGTACCAGAAGCAAGCTGGGCGGTGGGTCTGACCTCTGAGAGTGGAAGGCAAGGGAGAGAAGCAACTGCAGCGGATGGGTAGTGGGACTGGGGTGGGGTGCACCGCGCGCGCGTGTGTGTGTGTGTGCGCCCAAGCTAGAGCCTTCCTGAGTGTGCATATCCGTGGCAGTCTGAGCTGGTCTGGACAGCACATAGGAGTGTTATCCTCACTCTGGCTGCAGGACTGATGTAAAGTGTAAAGTGGCACCCCTTTACACGAGCGTTCCTGCAGTAAAACCTAAACCGCTTACATGGTGACGCATTCAAATATCCTTGGAGCTTCCTCCCCATCTCCTGCATAGACTCAAACTAAATGCTGTTCTGGTGGACAGTAAGGTATAAAAATATTTAAATAGCTCTTCTGGCATATGACTGAAGCTGAAACCTCAAGTATTTCTTCTACAGTCTAATACACAGGAGATAGAAGCGTCATTCTAAGGAAATCATCATTCAAATTAACTTAGGTTTAAGGTTAAAAGGGTAGGTGGATAGTGCAGTTTTTAAATGAGGTGTATTTTTTCCCTTAGTAGAAGTAGCCTATTCACTATAGAAAATTTGGAAATGAAGCAAAGCGGATGAAAGCATGTTGAAATATTTCCATCTAAGTTGGCCTCTTTCGTACATATTTGTGATGTTTATACACTTCAAGAGATCATTCACACTGAAATTTAAAGATAGATTTTTCTGATGAAGAAGCATAACAGCCCTCGTTGTTTGTTGAAAGCCTGAAAGATAACAAAAAAAAAAAGAAAAAATGAATAAATGCCCCCACTACCCAGAAACAAGCACTGTTAACATTTTGGTGTCTTTCCTGATAATCTTTTGATATAGTTGAGACAATAACCGTAGGGGTGAGCGTTCATTATTGTAACCACAGAATTTCATAAGACCTCAACGGAAAGTTTAGTTCAGTTCAGTGCTCAGTCGCGTCCGACTCTTTACAACCCCATGGACTGCATGGACCCCATGGAGAGTAACTAAGAGTTACCGGGTGATGGGACTCCCCTGGTTGGTCCAGTGGCTAAGACTCTGCACGATGCAGGGGGCCTCAGTTCCATCCCTGGCCAGGGAACTAGATCCCACATGCTGCAACTAAGAGTTCCCACGCCGCAACAAAAGATCCTGTATGCTGCAACTGAAAGATCCGAGTGTCTCAACCAAGACCCGATGCACACAATTTTTTTTAAAAAGAGTTACTAGGTGGTAAATATCTGCCCATGCAGGGTGTATTCATTTTGGGTAGATACGAGTTTTGACTTGACTTTTAGAGGCATGAGGATCTCAATACTGAAGCATTAACCATTACACATTAAGAAGTCCCTAAAGATAGATTATGATCCCTTTGTTTTGAATGTCTAAAATGGTACAAAATCAGTTTTGAATTTTTTGTAACCATACTAAATAAAAACAAGTTGGTAGGGTTGATTTTAATAAAATATTTTATTTAATCCAATATAGCCAAACTGTTTTACATACTTTATTTTATACTAACTCTTCAAAACCTGGTGTGTATTTTATACTTAGAGCACATCTCAGTTTAGACTAGCTCCATTTCAAGTGCTCAGAAACCATGTGTGGCCACTGGCTACATATTGAAGAACACAGATTTAGAATCCTAGTAATTTAGGGATCTAAGAACTTTAAAAGTCATTCAGTCTTAACCATGATAAACTTCTGGTTTTCACCATATGAAAATTGAACAGAGGAGTAAGTAAGTGACTGACTCAGATCAAACATTAAGTTCTCTTTGCAAAGTACAACATTACCCCATAATTTTCCATTTATTGGACATGCTCAGCTACCATCAAGCATATCACCATTAGTGGTCTAAGTGAAGTATAATATATTGGAAGAATTTTGATAAAATTTTGCTAGCAGTTCAAAAACACTTAACACATGAACTTTTTTGAGCCCATGCTGAGGCTGTTCTGCACTCAATTGTGTCTGACTCTGCAACCCCATGGACTACAGCCCACCAGGCTCCTCTGTCCTTGGAATTCTCTAGGCAGGAATACTGGAGTGGCTTACCATTTCCTCTTCCAGGGAATCTTCCCAGCCCAGGAATCAAACCCATGTCTCCTGTGTCTCCTGCACTGGCAGGCAGATTCTTTACCACTGTACCAACTGGGAATCCCTTTTGAGCCCATAAAAAGAATCAAATTAAAAACGGATCCTATTTCTTGCAGTGAAATGATTGATTGACTTTCAAGAGAAAGTGTGTCGTCTGTTAGATTCCTGATTTTGAAAAGTGGCCACATACTTCATCTCAGTAAAGCCCAGATGACAAATGAAAAGGCATAGTTTATGAGTGAAAATACAACCAAAAATGAAATAGGAAATTAAAGTCTGTATCCAGATAATTCATAATCTCAAACGGTTTTGGCTAAAACAGAGTCAGAGTGCTTAGGTTCATACCAGGCATTCAGTAGCTATTCACTGAATGACTCGAGGTGAAAAGTGTTTGATCTAAGCTTGAACAGGGAGCTTCTGTTCACAACAGAAGGAAAAATGCCAGGCAATTTCAAAGGAAGGTCTAGGTAGAGATGATGGGACAAGAGACGACATCTGTAGTCTAAAGACCAGTGCCATATGTCAACATGGCTAAAGATATCAGCCTCTTACTGCAGAAACTGAATTGTTCTCACAAAATACTTTTTCTAGGCCATTTCTTTTTTTAATTGAACTATAGCTGATTTATAATGTTATAATGCTTTAGGTATACAGCAAAGTGATTTAGTTTTATCACTATACATATTCTTTTTCAGATTCTTTTCCATAATAGGGTATTACAAGATATTGAATATAGTTCCCTGTGCTATATATTAGTTCCTTTGTTTATCTGTTTTATACATACTAATGTGTAATCTGTTGGGCTTCCTAGGTGGTACAGTGATAAAGAATCTTCCTGCTAACGCAAGAGATATGGGTTCGATCTCTGGGTTGGGCAGATCCCCTGGAGGAGGAAATGACAATCCGCTCCAGTATTCTTGCCTGGAGAATTCCATGGACAGAAGGGCCTGATGAGCTACAGTCCATGGGGTCACAGAGAGTCACACACACACACAAAATGTGTCTCTGTTAATCCCAATTTATCCTCATTTTCCCCTTTGGTAACTCTAAGTTTGTATTCTATATCTTTGAGTCTATTTCTATTTTGTAAATAAGTTCATTTGTGTCATTTGTTTATTTTTGTGTGTGTAATTTTTTTATATCCCACATATAGGTGGTATCGCATGATATTTTAGACCATTTCTGATTAGTTTTATTTATTGGGATTTAACAGAATATTCGAAACAATTTTTCTGATTAGATTTTTTTAAGTGGAGGATAATTGCTTTACAATGTTGTGTTGGTTTCTGGTGAACAACAGTGTGAATCAGCTGTAAGTATACATATATCCTCTCCCTTGTGAGCCTGATTAGATGTTAATGATTTATACCACTAACTAAATGGCTGTAGATTCCTTAAGGGAAAATTCCCTTCTCTCTACAGATTGCACATTTGCATAGTGCCCTAAGTCGGATAATCAATAAAGGCCAAACACAGACGCATGAATAATGAGCAGAAAGATTCAAGCTTCTCATCCGCGTTATTGTAACCAACTCCCTAATGCTATCAAAAAAACACAGATGTGAAAGAAGGGGATGCGGGGATGTGATATTGCTACAGACCACAAATAACCCACTGGAGGTTGGACCTGACCTTTTTTTCTCCCTTATCCTTTCCTACCTCACATCTCTAAAGAGCCAGAAAATTACTAGAAAATTACAAAAAATGGAGAAGTAACAGTAGCTAACAGATACCTAACACCAGCTCTGTACCAGGCATCCTTTTACATTGTCTACATGGATTAGCTTACAACAACTCTATGAGGTAAATATTATTTTTAACCTCATTTTACTGATGCAGAAATAGCACCGAGAGATTAAAGTAACTGGCCCGAGGTCATAAGCTAGGGACGGGTGGAGCTGGAATTCTCACGACCAGCTGACTCTTGAGGAGCATGCCTAGCTATGTTCGCAGGATGAGAAAGGGGAGAAAATGAACATGGTGCTCACTTCATTTTTTTTTTTTTACCCTCTTCCTCCATTTTTCTAAATCTCTGAAAGCTCAAAACTGTGTTTAGTTTCAACTTGCATTCTCATCCCTACCTCCCTTCTTCCTTTCCTGACAATGTTGGTGTAGAGTCAATCACATATACGTAGAAGTCATTTCAGCCCTCATTGGGGAACAGCATAGAACAGATTGCCTTTAGAGTGAAAATGGGAAAATGTGGCAGTGAAGGATCACCTTCAGTTCCCAGGAAAGGAAAAAAAAAGAAAAACATTTACAAAGGAATGGAAATCCAGACTGGTTGCTAGTCTGACATTTGAGAGAAAGACATTCTCGTATGCATAGTGTTAATGTTTCTGACATTTCAGCTTTTATCACCTCACGCGGCAGCACCAAATCACAGTTTCTCTTCCACTTTGGTGCAGGGAGTCATTTGTATGCTTGCACAAATGTCACTCACCAATCTTTTTTTTAATTAATTGATTCACACTTGTCTTTGGCATTGCTGGGTCTCCGTTGCTATGCGCGGGCTTCTCTTCGTGGTGGCTCCGCTTGCCGGGGAGCGCGGGCTTTCGGGCACAGGCTTCAGTGGCTGCGGCTCCTTGGCTCTGGAGCATGGGCTCAGTAGCCGTGGCACATGGGCTTAGTTGCTCCG